TTTCATTCTTTTTCCTCTAAGTAATCTTAGCTTATAGCTATTTAATTTTGTGTCACCTACATTCTAAGATAAATCAGGATTAGTTTTGCCACCTTTGTCTAATCATGACTATATACAATTTAAGCTTATAAAAATACATCATTTAGTTGTAAGTTGAAAAAGAAAGAAGGGAAAACAGAGAAAGTTAGCGCTGTTTTAAGCATCCCCCCCCTCTTCTTCCCTAGTCCCCTCAATTCTCACTCAGAACACTCATTTCAAGTTCTACTGCTAGATCAATTTCATACATTCGAACATTTTTCAACTGATCAGCCATCATCAAACCCAGCATGGTATCTCCCAGGCCCAATGCTATATGATGGGGTAAGCCCTGCCCTCAAAGCACTTGTGGACCAGAGGAAGACACCACCTTGTCAATAAATATATTTCTAGTGCCCTAGAAGCAGTTATAATACAATGCAAATATCAAAACTAAGAAGTACCAAAATACAGGCGTATACTTGATGCTACAGAAGCATAAAAGGAAAAAAAAAAAAAAAAAGTACTACCTGGTACAACTAAGGATAGTTAGTACAAAAAAAGAGAAACTAACCAGAAAGGAGTTTTTTTCAAAAGCTCAGACATTTTACTTTTAGGATCATCAAGTGTATAGTAATTTACCGCCCTTTACTACCTTTTGTTGAAATACATGTTAACCAGAATTATACTGCACAAAATTTTAGTTTGAAAAAGTGTACTCCCTCAGAATATCCTCAAAGCCTTCCCTCATTACTTCAACACACAAATATTTCCACCTACTACTCATCCTTCCTTCCCACCGCTCAACAATTCTAGCAATCTGTCTTATTTGGCACTCATTAAAGTATATACATAAATTCATGCCTATAATCCTGGCACTTTGGGAGGCCAAGTTAGGAGGATTACTTGAGACCAGCAGTTTGAGACCAGCCTGGGCAATGTAGTGAGACTCCATCTCTACAAAAAATTTTTAAAAATTAGCCAGGTATAGTCGTGTGCACCTGTAGTCCTAGTTACTTGGGAGGCTGAGGCAGGAGGGTCACTTGAGCCCAGGAGTTTGAGGTTCAGTGAGCTATGATGTCATCAAGGCACTCCAGCACGGGGAACAGAGTGAGACCCTGTCTCAAAAAAATATATATACACACACACACACACACATATACACACACATATACATATTATATGTATATACATATTCTATAACCTATATACATATTATATAATATATATATATAAAGTGCCTTTTGGAGAACTTATAAAAGATATGGGAATAATTATATGGTCCTACCTTCCAGACTACTATGAATACTTTCCTTTAACCCCCACTGTCACTTGCACAGTAGATGCTCAAAGAGTATTTTTAAAAATCTCTGGTGACACAATGAGAATTACATATTACATTAATACTATGCATCTAATAAAAGCTAAATTAAAAAAAAATTCTTCAGTATTACAACCTACACATGAAGAAGTGGTAATATAGTGATTAAGAGCAAACAATTCCTCAGCATTACACTTGTATGTGAAGAAGGGATAGAGTAGTGGTTAAGAGCACAAACACAGAAGACAAACTGCCTGACTTCTAATCTATATCTGTCACTTAAACAACTGTGTGACCTTGGGCAAACTACATAACCTCTCAGGGCCTCAATTTTCTCAACAATAAAATAGGGATAAAATATCACCTATCTCCTATTTCACTGTGAGAGTAAATGAGTTAGAATAGTGCTTAGACCAGGACTTGCACATGATAAGCACTGGACTTGAGAGCAGTAGTAGCACTGGTAGTATTACCATCATCGGAAAACTTGGAAATTTTTTAACCAGAAATAAAAATGATGATACCTTTCATCTGTGTGCCTCCTTATAGTTAAAAAGCTCTTTTACAGAAGGTGTAGACCAGGAACCTTAAGAGTTCCTCTTTGGACAGTCATACACAGTTTTTAATCCTGGCTCTGCCATTAGCCAGCTATATGACCACTGACAAGTAACTACAGGCAAATGATTCCAACTTTCAATTTTATGAGCCTCAATTTCCTGATTTGTAAAATTTGATAAACCACCTATATTACAGAAATGTCCTGAAGACTAAAGAGTAAGGTACCTAAACCAACAAGCACACTGTCAAGTTAACGTTTGTTCCTTCTCCCCGCCCATACATCTCACATGGACTATCTCATTAAACCCTCATCCCACCATTATGAAGTTCATATTAGGTTGAAACATACAAAAAAACAGCAGAATACTGGCAATTTCTTATGTTTCGATCTAATACTATTTCCATTTACAAATGGAGAAAATAGCTCAGAGATCAAATGATTTATTCAAGGCTATATGCCTTGAATAGTAAGTGATGGAACTGAAAGTTAAATAATTTTTTATTCAGCCGGCTCACTACTTTGTTCAGTGAGTCCTGCTTAGGAGGGGAAAATAACATGTACTAACCTATAAAACATGGAAGACTACTGTAACCTACAAGTTTTTGTTTTGCTATCTTCAAAAATGAGGAGGGAGCCAGATATCTAAGACCCTTTTGATTTTAAAAGTTATTTGTAGAGCATCTATGTTTGTGTTGGGGAGGATTAGGGGAAATCAGAGGTAAAGAATATTAAAGGAAGCATAACTACACTGATTCAAAAAGTAAAACTGGATCTAATTAGAAATTCCACTAATTAGAAATTCCACAAAACGTTAAACATCAAATATTCATCCTGGTAAAAAGTTAGAGGTATTTAACAATACAGATAACTTGTTTGCCAAACACACAAGGAACAGTTATAATAAACACTTTGGTACACAAAGATATGCGTTAATATACATTACAGTAACAGAAAAAAAATTAAGGGCTTTTCTTCTAATAGTAAGACACTACTTTAGTAAAATTGTATAACTGCTAAATTTACTGCTATAAATTCCACAAGGACAAAGGATTTGATCACATAAACCATAATTGGAATACAATGTCTGTCCACACATGAAAAGTTCTATCAAAATGCACAGTACTAGTAAATAAATAACAAATGGTAACAGAACAAGGCCCCATAAAACTGGTGAAATATTTAACAGTATCAAATATGTACTATGATTGGTCTACAGTCCTAGTCTGCTTCTTTTCTCCTTGATTTGTCATTCACCATTTTAAAAAAAAAAACTGCATGAGCAACAAAATAAGGATAATAAATAGAAACCGGCTCTTTCAACAGATTTACAATGGAACAGTTTTGTTTTAATCCTCTTATTAGCCTCTCCTCCAATCATGCAATGATCCCACAGCAAGAGATTACAACGCTTTCCCCGCCCGCCCCACCCTCCTCGCCCCCACTGAAAGAAAGGAGTTGGGGGAAAACAGAAGAGTGTATAACAGGTGGCCCCCGAATTGGCAACATTTCCACGAAACTAAACTGCCTCTCAGGAATCAGTATTAATTCAGCGCTCTTATTTTTCCAGACCTTACCATTTAGCCACTATAGATAAATGTTTTTTCAATCCCGTAACAACTGGCAACTCTTCACGTGCTGCGGATTCCACCTAGCATCATCACTCCTTGAGCCACTAGGCTGGCTGGGCGGTCGGGGCGAGTTGTCAACGCCGGGCGGGCAGTGTCACTGCAATTGCGTCTGTGCACACGTCTCAAGTCCCCCAAACAAAAGTCCGGCTGAACTGAGCCGCCTCCCACAGCGCGACTCCGGGCGCTCGCGCGTTCCCACCCGGTTTCGCCGAAACCTCCCGAGGGTGACCTCTACGCCTCGGCGCGGGGCCTCGCGCGTCGCCGACTGAGCCGCGGGCGCGAAGGCACCCCGGGCCCACAGCTACCCTCCACTCCGCACCACCGCCCGGGGCGTCCCGCGCTGCGACTGGCTTCCGACTTGTTCGGGAACTCTCTTTTCCCCCCCTCCGCAATCCCGGGCCCCCGCTCCGGGCTGCGCTCGCCCGCCGCCAGGTAGCCCGGCCGCGGCTCACCGCGCCGGGTGCTCGGGGCCGCGCAGTTAATGAGTAACGCGCCCGTGCCCGGAAAGGGGGACCGGGGAGGAGCCGCCGCCCGACGCCCACCAGCGGCCCGGGGGGGAGCCCGACGGAGCCGCGCTGCCGAGCCGTCCACATCCCGCCGCCGGGGGTCCCGGAGCCCTCGTGCCCAGCCGGGGAGCGCGCTAGCCCGGCCGAGGGAGCCCCTGCCGGGTCCCCGCGCGCCGCACCCTCAGCCGCGCCGGCACCTGCACCTGCCGCCGCCGCCCCTCCCGGCCGGCTCACGGGAGGCGGGCGCGCGGGCGCTGAGGGGGGCGGTGCTCCACACCTCGGGCCTCTCCCTCGCGCCGCCGCACTCACCTGACGAACCCACTGCGGCCGCCGCCCGCTCTCAGAGGCGCTCGCAGAGCCGCGCTGCCCCGAAGCAGCGAGAGGCAGAGGACGACTGCGGGCCGAGGCCGCTACACTCCGCCGCGGCGGGCGCACTGCGCTGGGAGCCGCCACGGGAACGCGGGACTGCGCCTGCGCTGGGAGCCGGGCCGGGGGCCCGGAGCCGGGAGCGGCTGGTCCCCGCGGAGGGAAGGCGGGGCTGGGGGCGGGGCCGGGCAAGGGCAGGGCGGGGCCGGCGTGGGGCCGGAGGGGCCGACGCGCTTCCGCGCCCCCTGGCGCCAGACTGGACTCGTCGCAGGTGCTGCGGCGCGGGCCCCAGGTTCCTACGCGGGCGGTTTCCCTGGGAACCGGCGCTAGCGGGCCCTGAGAGGTGCTTCGGGGGCTGGAGAGGCGGCCTGGGGTTAACTTCGAGCATGTTGGGCTGGCTAGGAGCGGGAAGAGGTACGTTTTCCGTGAGTTGAGGACTTCTGGAACCGTCCTAAGACTCAGCGTCCATATATACCTTACAAACGTGTGTGTGTGTGTGTGTGTGTGTGTGTGTGTGTGTGTGTGTGTTTGAGGAAGTCCCATGGAACCTAGATCCCATCATTCCAGCACCTGCCAGAGCATTCTAGAATGTTGTTTCTGTATCTACCATCTCTCATCTTTTGTGTCAACAGTTTTATCAAACTTTCACCCCCACTTTAGGTCCCCCAGGTAGGAAAGGTGAAAATACAGAAAGAACGAAGCTCCTAAAATTCTGACAAAAAAAAGAGGCAATCACGGTATGTGTCTCTGGGTTTAGTAAAAAAGACCTTCAATTTACGTGATACACGTATTGAATAGGACCATCATGCTGTGTATAGATCACATCTATTAGAAGCAGTAAAGTATGCTATTGGAATCAAAAATCTTGGGTTGGAATGGGCCACCTATTAGCTGTGTGACCTTGGTCAAGTTAATCTCTAATAGACCCAATTTTCTCATTAATAAATGTGTATAAAATTCGTTCACTGAGCTCTGAGTAGTTGAGAGTTTAAATGGCTTAATACTTATCAACAGTGCATTGCATGACAGAGCGTGCCTAATGAATATTTGCTATTATTAATAACATTACTATTATCATCTGCCTATAATCTCACCAGTTTTTTTATTCATTTAAACCCCATATCCAATATGTCACCAAGTCCTACCTATTCTAATTCCCAAATCATTCTCAAATCTATCTCATCTCATATTCATTGCCACTAGATATGACCTTTCTCATTATGGACTCCTAACCATTCTCCCTAACAACATGTAGTTGGTCATTCATTCATAAAACATTCATTGCACTAAATATGCCTACTGCTAGACATGGGGACAGTAAAACCATTACAAAGTCCTCGCCATCCCAGGATTCAAACATAGGGAGACAAGTATGTCAATAATAACTAAGTGAAATAAATAAATTCAACACACAGCAAACCACTTGGGCTCCCCAGTCTTGCCATACTCTCATACATCCCTGTCTTTCCATATGCCATTCTTTTTTCTTGTTATCTCATGATCCCATACCTTTTCCTTACCTAGCTAATTCCTTATTATCCTTCATTATTCATTCCAGTCATCAATTCCATTGTGAGCCCTTCCCTGTTGTTTACCACCTATCCCTAAGCCACTCACCCCAATATGGGATAGGTGCCCCTGGGACCTTTGCTCCCACAGCACCTTATTTCTTTCTAAAACTTATCACAAAGAATTATAATTGTAGTTTTATTTCTCCATTTTCCTAATTAGAGCTTCTTGCGAACGGGCACAAGGCCTGACATGCAGTAGGACTGGTTTGATAAATGCAGAATGAGTGAATGACAGACTTGCAGAGTGCATTGTCTTGGTATATGAATGTTTAAAGGACACATCCTATGATACATTCTACATAAGACCTAAGACATCATGCATCTACAGGAAATAGTAAGCAATAGCCATATGTCTGAATCCTGCATTGGTCTATTTACAAATCACCTACTATCTACAAGTCTCTTTGGAACATACTTAGAAGTGTTTTCTCTTGAGTACTTAACCTGCTAGCACAATTTGAGAAGAGTGATAGGTAGTTACATATAACAACACTTCAGTGTCCTTGCAGTAAGATAGATTACAGAATGTTAGACATTCAGAATCCCAGCCTACAAAATATACAAAGTGCTGTGAGCATCCTAAGTTAGATTGCTTATCCATATATCAAAGGGACAGACACTATAAAACTTCAAAGATATAAATTTTATAGTGTCAAGTTTGCCCTTTTTTCCCCTTTGTTAAAAAATAAATTATACAATTATATAAAATACAACACATAAAATAAGATTGATTTTTTTTTAAATCTTGTCTTTCCTGTTTATATGTGGGGCCAGAAAACAAAGGAAATGAGTGCAAAGATACGGAAATTTTAAGTTGAACAAATCATTCTAAGGTTGTTACCCTTAGTTATAACTTTTATTGCTTGTTTGCCCATTTTGATTTCAAAGGAAATGCATATTTACCTGGTACTTTCCAGTTTCTAACTGACTTCAGATTAATTATCTCATGATCCTTTACAAAAAACAATTTGACATAGGTGAAAAAGTGTTTATTCTTCATCTTTATAGATGGAAAGCTTAGACCATCAAAGTTAGGGCCCTGATCTTTAGAATGATGATTAATATCTTACAACAAATGAAGTTCAAACTCTTTAAAAGGCATATTGGACTTTCATGTCCAGGACTATGGCAGACAAGAGACTCTGGCTGATTCTCCCACCAAAAGCAATTCAAAGTGCTGGATAAAATATATAAAACATTTATCAAACATATATCAATGAGCTGGCAAGAACATAAAAACCATCAAGGGCAAAAACTGGGTAAAAGTGGGAACCCAGACGGTAAATAATAACAATCCAAAATTAAAAAAGAATAAATAAAGTTACAGGGAACTTTTTAGTTCTAGTTACAGGGGAAAATGTACCAAAAATAGTCTATCATTTTCTTGTCTAGCAAAATGGTTATTTGTGGGCCAGTGCTTGCTTTCCCATAAAATTTTGCTTTTGTAACTCCTGTACAAAAGCAGAGCTATCTCTAAAGTGTCTTTCATTAGATCAGTTATGGAAAGCTCTGCATTTCAAACCCCTTTTCTAATGTTGGAATAATCAACTGGGAGAAATTGGATGGCTGATAGAAAGGGTTAACAGAGAATTTAGACTCCAAAAAGTATGATTCCCTTCAAGCAAATCATTTTAACAAGCTATATACATATAAGAAAATGTTTGGGGAATTGATTTAGATACAGTTTATCATACTACATGCAAATTACTATCAATTGAAATATTTCTTTATTGTTTCTCTATGCCAGGTACATAAAAAAAAATAGTCATCAGTAAAAAGGAAGAGAAGGAGAAATGAAACACAATGAGAGGACTTCCTGGCTTCTCCTTAAGTGTTTCAGTTCCAGCTTCCAGTCTATTCTTGAGGCTTCCTTTATCCCCTCCCATAGGCTCTGTGGGAAATACTTGCATCCTGAAAATAATTCCTCCATTTTGCTTAACATATCTTTGAATGGATTTCTGTTACTGGCCACCAGAGAATTATTCTAAACAACATATTTTCATGGAGGCATTGATTTCTGCAGCAGTTAAAAAACTCAAAGTAACAGTAGCTAAAACAAAACAAAATGTATTCCACTCACATAAGTGCAGGTGGTCTGGGGTTGGTACCGTGGCTCTCTAATCAGCAGGAACACGGGCTCCTTCTGTTATGTGGCTTCACCATCCTGAAATGCAGCTTCTACCTTATGATCCATGATGACAGTTCAAGCTCCAGCCATCACATCCTTTTTCCAGCCAGCGAAATGGAGGTAGAGGCAGAAGAGGACACAACCCTCTATTCAATGACACTTGCAGAAATTGTATACATCACTACATTTATACCCTGTCAGTCAAGTGTCGTCTCTTGGGTAGCTGTGTGCCCAGCTAAAAATCAGTGGTTCTAATACTACTAAAGAAAGGGAGAACAGATATTGGAAATAAATAATAGTCTCTAGCTCATGATAATAAGTGAGACGTAGGATGAGAGAAATGGTGATGGGATAGAATATACAAATAGAACAAATACAACGAAAGAAGTGTGTTCAGAGATAGCAAGCAATGCAGATTAGTTGGCACATGTGACAAGTGCAGGTGAATAGATAAACCTGGAAAGATACGCAAGAGCCAGAATGTGGAAAGATCATAAATGTCAGACTGAAGAATGTGGAATTTGGTAGAAGAGAGTTACTGAAAGATTTTTGAATTGGAAAGTGAAATGATGCAAACAATGTTTTGGGAAGATTAATGTGATGGCAGTATCTAGAATGTACTTGAAGAGGGTAACTACAGACAAGGAAATAAAATGGGAAGCTACTATGAGATAGTGCCTATATTGCAGTCAAAACAGAAAAGAGGAAACATTTCAAAAGATGTATTTGTCTAATGCAATAAGTGATTAGACATTTAACACCTCCCTGCCCCCGCACACACACACACACACACACACACACACACACACACACACATACACAGTGCATACTCAGCATTCATTATACTTTCTGAGATCGGCACAGTAATTTTACTTGAGGAAACACCTTTCCATCATATTCAGTCCATGTGATTCAAGTGGAACTGAATTCCCCCAACTCCAGGGGTAAGCATGTGACCCAAGCTTGACCAATCACAGAATCCTCCTGATCTCTGTCACTGGTTCATTGAGAAGCAAATGATTCAAGCAGGGCCAAAAAGAATCAATTCTGGTACTTTGAGGACATTTTCAGGAAAAGTGAGTCTCTATTTCTGTGAGGACTGCTGAGATCAAATGTAGGCCTCAGGCTTCCAGCAACAACCTTGCCCCCAATGGAGAATGTGCCTGAGAATAGAAATAACATGGAGAAGGCAGATCTTTGAGACAAGAAAACCAAGGGTGGGTTCTGATGACATCATTTGACTTCCCCAAGCAAGCTGTAACTGAAGCCAGAGACCCTAGACTTTTTGGTTATATAAACTAGTAATTTTCTCTTTGCTGAAGCCCATTTATGTTGGGTTTTCTGCTACTTGCAACTGAATATACAGAAATAAAGGTGAGAAAAGAGTCAGTGATAATTCCAAGTTTTAAATACAGTATCATCTACCTATGCCATACATAGTACATATACAAACCTGACTTGACTCTCAAATTTTATCTGTTCAAAAAAATCAAATCTATATTCAAAGAGAAGATGTTTGATATGATTGGGAATATTCACAATAATGTCATAAAAGCTCTGAAAATGCAGAGTCATAAATTACTGGAGCTGGCAGAGACCTTTAAGTCATCTCTCCTCACCACCTATTTTCACAAATGAGAAAACTGAGACCCACAAAGATTTATCCAAAGTTACAGAGCTAATATGTGCCAAAGCTGGGTCTTGAACAGAGGTCTTTGGAAAACTAGTCTGTATATTTCCATTCTATTATCCTGATACTTCAAAACAGGACACCTAAAACAGTTCTCAAATATGTTTGAAATACATATAATACAAATACAGACAACTTCCCATGAAGCAACTATTCTAAACAGACCATATTCATTTTGAAAGCATGGGAGTGCCAGCGACACTCACCACATTCCTGTGAGAATAGATGGTCTTTCTGCACAGTGTAGCTGAGGTGCATGTCATTGTATATTAAGTGAAACCAACCATGCTGTGTTAACCTAATAACTGGACCTGGATAGATGCCTGAGCCAAAAGCAACCTTGTGTGGTTAGACTGAGTATGAGAAAGGTCAACTTTCTGAAATGGCATGAAGCTCTCCACAATAGAGATCCTTCATTCTGTCAAATGAAATCAACCCAGTCAGTTCCCCCCTTTGAAAACATGAATGCTAAGTGTGCACAGAAAGAGTGGTTCATTCAAGTTCAGCTGGAAACCCAAATAAAGATAAACTATCCTTCATGAGGCCTACTATTCATCTTCATTATAGAAAAACTAGAACCCACATATTATATAACATCTATCTCTATATCTTTGCAATAATCCCTTTATGCATTAATTCTTTTATTTATTGAGTGTCCTTTATATGCCAGATACTTTTCAGATGCTGGGAATATGACAGAATAAGACAATGTTTCTCCCCTTTTTGGCTCTTACAGTCTAGCAGAGGAGACAGTCAATAGAGGAGTAAATATATAATATAATGTTTAGTAATGATATATGTTATGAAGGAAAATGGAGCAGAACTCATTACTGCATGAGAACTTTGTTACATAGCTAAATGTGGCTATAAGGTGGGTTGAAAAATGTAGTCTCTGAATGTAGATTAACAGTCATCTGCCCAAGAAGAAGGGAAAACAAGAAATCTGCCACAAAAAAAAAATGCTGAATGTAGAAACAGGAAAGAAGAAACATTTTGATATATCTAACACATTCACAAATTAACAAACAATTCACCTTTTGGGTAAATTGTTCTGATGGGTATATTTGCCTGGTTAGTCACATAAACATATAGATAACTTGCATTTGTTGGGTTACTTTGGGGGAGTCTGAGGCTTTTTGTCTTTCAGAATTCAGCCTATTTTGATGTTGACATTCATCAATATTTATTGTGTATCATTAGTGTACTAAATAATACTCAACTGAACAGATCATGGGATATTTCTGAGATTAGAAAAAAATGTTTCTCCATTCTCCAAGGAAAATATCCCCACCTCAGTACCTCCTTCGTTGCTGCATATTTTATCTCAGCCAGTCATTTTTTAATTGACAGATAAAATTGTATTTATTTACTGTTTAACATCTAACTTATAAAAACAATATCTATTCTGTTATATATACTAGGAGTTCTCACATGAATACTCGTGCCTTTGTATATCATTCAATTACTATTTTTGAATGGCTATGTACAAGATTCAATTGGTAAACCAGTAGCATCAGAATCACCTGAAAAGCTTGTTTAACCCAAGTCTTATGAATCAGAACCTTTGCGGATTAGGCCTACCTGGAATTTTTTTAAAAACAGTGGAAGCAATTCTTATGACACTAATCTTTAAGAATCAACAGTAAAGAATTCAGGAAAGTAAAGCAGAAAAATCCTCAAACTACAATATAGTTGGGATAACATAACATATACATAAAACAGTGATTTTTTTAAATGTCTTCCAAAGAGTAAATATAACATCCTCTATTCCTCCTCCTCTGAGAAATGACCCAGTAGCAAGGATAATGACACTAATGCAAAATCCATTTGCACTGAAAACAGGAGACACCTGAAATTCTTAACTACACTATTTGTGATATACAGTGAGAGGCAGGAATATTTTGGTTAAAGATATAAATGGCTACAGACCACAGAAAACATCAACAAAGCACACTTCACAAAAGTAAATGACTTCCCTTAGAGACAAAACCAACAATCTTTCATTTCAAACAAGGGAATCCAGAGTGTGGATTAGCAGCAGTGCCTTCCTGCAACCTGGTTAATTATAAAAGAGTAGGAGGTAAGGCACAGTTGAAACAGGAATCATTCCGACCTGCCATATACGCAGGAAGCATTGTGTTGGTGAGGCAAAATGGAAGAAAACAGACTGCAATGTGAGCAGCCCTGCAATGGCCAATTTCTCTGAGTTAGAAGTAGAAGATAAAGGAACTCATCTACCCAACCTTTGCGTGGTGAGGAGGAGCCCTATTAGGCTGAATCATGGTCCAGGCCTCTCAGCAGAAACCTTCTGCAATTAGCACATCTTGGAAACATCTCCTTTGAATATGAATAATCAGTGAAAAAGTAATCAGCTGGGTACAGTGGCATGCGCCTATAGTCACAGCTACTTGGGAGGCTGAGGCGAGAGAATCTTTTGAGCCCAAGAGTTTGAGGCCAGCCCAGGCAACATAGTGAAACTCCCATCTCAAAAAACAAAAAATAATCACTCAAAAACCAGCATACAAAGATACCATATGAAAAAAGAAAGGATGGCATAGGAGAAAATGGCAAGTTAAAATTTTCATCCAAAAAAGAGTTGCCATTAAGCAAAGGAAATTTTGACCAAATATATAATTTATGATTATAAATTTTAAAAGTGTACAATTGTTGCTTTAAAACAGGAGCAGAGAGTAGATACTAAAGCTCATGGAATATACGGAAAATTTGGAAGAAGATAATTACAGTGTCAAAAACTGAGAGATTCATTTCTAGCATTAAAAATAACTTTTCAAATCGACAAGAAAAAGAAAATACCCCAACAGAAAAATTGGCAAAGGAACAGATAATTGATGGAAGAGAAAATCCAGAATTTTAACAAGCATATGAAGAAATATTCAAGCTCATTATTAAGCTGGATAATGTCAAATGTTAGTGAGGCTATAGGAGTACAGGACCCCTCATGAACTGCCAAGAGGAGTGCAAACTTTGTATGAACTATGACCCAGCAAGTCTACTACTGGGTATATTTAATACATCTCAAATAAATTTTCATAAGGGGTCATTTCAGGGTTATTTGTGGTCGGGGGGAGTTGGAAGCACTCTGGGGGTCTATCAGCAGGAGAGCAAATGGGTAAAAAGAAGTGGTAGATGCACACCACTTAGTATTGGGTTAGTGTCCTCCTGAGAAACAGAACCAATAGGAGACAGATATATAGATAGATATAAGAGAGAGAAAAAAAGTTATTATAAGGAATTGGCTCACATGATTTTGGAGCTTGAGAAGTCCCAAGATCTGCAGATGGTAAGCTGGAGACCCAGGAGAACCAATGGTGTAGTTATAGACTCTGAGGGCTGAGAACCAGGATTGCTGATGGTGTAAGTTCCAGTCTGAAAGCTGGCAGGCTTGTTACCCAGGAAGAGCCAATATTTCAGGATGAGTACAATGGTAGTAAAAGTTCATGTAGTCAGGCAGGAAGAATTGTCTCTTACTCAGTCTTTTTGTTCTATTCAGGTCTTTACTCGATTGGATGAAGCCTACCCACATTCAAGAGGGCAACCTGCTTTACTCAGTCCACTGATTCAAATGTTAATGTCATCCAGAAACACCCTCACAAAGATACCAAGAATGATGTTTGCTGAAACTTCTGGGCAACCCATGGCCTAATCAAGGTGACACATAAAATTAACCATTACAAATATTATGCTACAGTTAGAAACAACTAATGAGAGGGCCACAAAGTAACATGGATGGATCTTAAAAATATAATTCTAAGTTTGAAAAACTGTGGATATATGGTCAAGACAACACATGTACATTTAAAAGTGCATACAAAACAGGCACAGTTTAGTCCCAGGCCTATAATCCCAGCTACTCAGGAGACTGAGGTAGAAGGATTGTTTAAGCACAGGAGTTTGAGGCCAGCCTGGGCAACATAGCAAGAACCCTCCTACCCACATCTCTAAAGAAAATTCTTTTTTAAATTTTAAATAGTGCATACATAAAAACAATACATATTTTACAAAAATACAAATACATGCAAATAAAAATATTCATCTTATGAATATTAATGTACCAAACAACATAGCATTAAATTTATAAAGCAAAACTATAGCAAATTCAAAGAGAAATCAACAGAAGACCTGAATAGTTAATTTATCTCTCTCTCCTAGAACAGATCAAGTGGTCAAAAATAAAATAAATAAGAAAAGAGAAGGTCTAAATAACACAATTAACAAGATTAATTATTACCTTGTAACAATTACATTGTATACATACATTTATATATTTATAAATTTAAATAAATATATGAGCAAGAATAAGAATACAGTTTACTATATGTACCCATGGACTATTCACAAAATTGACTAGGTGTCAAAGGGTACTTCAGATGGGCCTAGAGATTTTGCCTACAAATAGGCAAGGAGAATGCTCCTTTATTCTTTGCCCCCTTTAACTACAGCAGGCTTCTCTTTTGTTTCCTTTTCATATTGAACTTTTAGCTTTGAAAAAAAGTTTTAAAACCATTTTGACACATACATACACTTACCCAAGGATGTAAAAATGTTTATTTTATTTTTAATTTAAGATCTATATCTCATGTGCCAAATATATAAAATAGAATGCTGCAAAGCAGCAGTATCCAGTAGCTGATCTAACTGATCCTAATTAGCTAGAACACAGAGACATTGCAGGGGCTATCTCTGACAGTAAGGAATTTGAGAAGTTTGGTATAAACATGGATGTTTAGGTGGGGTACCTGCAATGAAAGAGGGGAGAAATGCATCAATACAAATTGGTCTGCTGTTCCTTGCATCATTCATTGGGTGTGTTTGCGATTTGAGCTTTGTAAGAAAGGTTATTTTCCTGGTGTAAGAATAGAAGTTATCATGGTTGTCAACATTCTTCATGCCAGTGCTCTTAACTATCACCAGTTTGGACAAAGACAAAGCAGTGTATGCAGTTTGGGTTTATTTTAATGCAGCCAGAAGGCTAGGTTATGGGAACTTGTTAAAGAGATGTTTTGAGGTCAAGAACTTTGGAGAATTAAAGAGCTCTCAGAGGCACAACTTATTCAACATGTAGGGGCCCAAGAGATTGTGCTTTCTTGCTGTTCTGATGAAACATCTGAATATACTGAACTTGAAACCACAGGGGAAAACAAGAGCTTTTGTTTCAAGAAGTAAAAATCTCAGCCTTAAACCAGGCAGTAGCCCTGAACTTAATGGAATTAAAGATTTTGAGGAGTTGCTATACTATTTTGGTAGAAATAAAGTCCAAATTTAAGAAGACATAGTTTGATGAACATGAACCATGCTTTAAGTTTCTACAGCTGTTTTTGGTGTGCAAACCTTAAGATGTGTTTGAATTACCAAGTATCTCTTCTATCTGTGCAGCTTGGTTGCAAGAGGAATTTAATTTCACAGACTAAAGGAACTGTGCTATCAAAAAAGACAAAATTTAATTAGAATTTGAGAAGTGGCATATGAATCACAAAATTATTCTAAATTTCAGTCTGCTTGGCTCTCCTTCATGAAACTGCTGAAATCCAGGCTTATAGCAACCATATCATCAGTAACAAAAATCTGGAGTAGAAATTCAGCTATACATTGCTTAAATACAGACCAGACATCTCAAGAATTATTTAGTCACATAGATAACTATATTGTCATTGACATAATCAAAATTAATCAACAACTTTCTGTTTTAAGTATCTTTCAGGACCAAAAATACTCTGACATAATCCCTGTGTGAAATAATTCTTGCCAAATAAGCAGACACTTTTGGCTGCAAGGAATGGGCATCTGTCCCCAATTCAATGCTAGCAATGCCAACTCAGGGCCCAAATGAATCAAATAATTGTAGAATCTGACCTTGAGGCAAAGATCTGGAAACAGCGTTAGAAATATCTGAATATTGCTTAGCCTGTTTTTTTTATAAGGAGTAAATGAACAATAGAAACTCTTAATTGGTCTGTCCCTAGGGATCCTGAAATTTCCACCATATCATAATTACAAGGCTTCAAGTAAAACCTTGCCAAGAGATATGAGTCATCCCTAGTTTTGGTAGGCTATGTGTGCTTTTTTATTAACAGATGACTAAGTTTTGAAGGACTCTTTTTATATTATTCTAAAAATCTGTAATTTTGAACATCATTAGGAGAGACAGGCCACATGCATACAGATTTCTGATTATCCCTAAAATATGGAAATTACTATTCTAAAGAATTAGAGAGGACTTCTGGTGTGAACATGACTGAGTATATTAGTATTTTCTTTTTCTACCTTTGGAAACCATTGAAGAGCTAAAAGGACACAAACAAAACCCCACCCCCAAAATTCACAAAGCTTCTTTTTCTTTTGCAGATTAGAATATAAATATACCATCCAGATTCCAAAACATGTATAAGAATTGACAAAAACAGCTGAGGTTGAGCAAAAATTGTGTGGGAGAAATTAGAAAGAAAAAACAAAGACCAATCTCAGCAACAGGAAGGTTTAGCTAGACAATGGTAGCAAAAGTATAACTCCTGAAGGTAATAAATACACCCTGAGTCACAGAAACATTATCCTTTCTTTGCCAAAGGAGGTGTGGGAACTGGGGCAAGTCATGCTGGCAACAAAAGCCCCTCATATCCAGTTTGATTCAAAAAGACAGTGCAAGTGAGGTTGCACAAACAATCACACAGATAAGCCATATTGGCAGGAAGCAATCTGTTCGTGTAGCAGCAGAGAAGTGAGTCTATACTTAGTGAAAAACAGTTCCTTCTTACCCTTACACTCACCTATACTGGAAACTCTTGCAAATAGCTGGTCCAGGAAAACCCACTTGACTCAAGGATGAGAAATAAGAAAGAAAGTAGTATACCACCAAAATAAAAAACTATAACAAAATTTTAGAAAAAGGAGCAAAACCTAGTAGATAAAGAACATTTTACAAGTAAAATGAAGCTATGGAAGTTGCATTTTTTGAAAATATCTTTTCCAGGATTAGAAAAAAAATGAGATAATCACCCCCATAGAAAGAAAGCCATACAGCAGAAATGCAGGAATTCAAGGAAGATGCAGTGAAATAACAGGAGGTGATGAAATGCAAGATGGAAGAATTCAGAAAAGAAGTAGTAAAAAAATTTTTAAAAAAAACCATCACAAAAATAAAGACAAAATGAGAAAGGAAGTAAGAAATAAAAGAAACTTAAGAAATATAAAGGGAAAGAATCAGAAAAACAAGTAAAATGAAAAAAATATATAGTTGAAAATGATTAGAAACAAAATAATATATACAGAAAACAGGCTAAGGAAGTTTTTTGTAAACTTGTAATTGGTGCCCACTAGGAAAAGATTCAAAGTAATGGAACAAGCAAATACTTAATGATATAATTGAAGAAAACTTTTTTCTGTTTTAAAATAAAGTGCATCTTTTTATTGAAAAGATACTTTACATGCCAAGGACATCTTACCTGGTATACCTACCGATTACAAAGAAAAAGAAATAATCCTTTGGAGAGGTAAAATACTCAAGTCACTTATAAAAGGAAGATGTCAATCTGACCTTAGATTTCTGCATAGCAACATTCATTCCAAAAACACTGTGAAGCAACATATACAAGACACTCAAGTAGAGAAAGTTGACACAAAGCCTTTATGTCTGGCCAAACTGTCTTTCAAGTATAAGGACTACAAACAAAGAGATAAAAATATACAAAAGCTCAGATAGTGTTGTTCCTATTAGCTCTTCTTAAGAAAACTTCTAAAAGATGAATTTTGGCAACAAAAGACAATTTAGTACAAACTACAGCAAAAGGTCTGCTTGTGATTATTGTCTCATTAACTAATGAAATCCTTCCTTTGTGCCTTCTGGAATTCATCTATCATCAGCCAAATCTTTTGTACCCTCAACCTCTTCTCTGAACTTCACCTCATTGCTGTGGAAAACTAGCTCTCCCCTGAAGACAGCACTTCCCCTGTAGCCATCTTATGTAGTGGTTGTGCCCCCATGCCCCACCCTGTAGTCCTCATATATCTGGGCCTACGTTTAGGGAAGGGCACCTCTTTGCTCCTCATTGCTACTTTCAGACTTTTCTCACTCCCTTTCCTAAAATTCTCTGGTATTAAATCTCATGTTATCTGATTAATTCACCTCAAAATGTTCATTTTTACTGTCATCCAGACTACACCTGGGTCGGTTTCACACATTTCTCCATGATATTAGCTGCAGTCTGATAATCTCTCACTTTAGTCCTAATTCCTGGTGATTTTAACAACTATTCTAGGTGATCTTCCTACCACATAGTTTCTCAGGTTTTTGAACTTCTCTGCTCAAATGACCTTGTTCTCCGCCATACCTCAGTCACTCACCTTTATGTTCATGCTCTAGTTTGGGTCATTATTCCTTTCTTTGCAATTTATTCCCTTTAGTACCCCAGCAATCCTTTGAGCCCAAATCAGGGGGGGAAATGACATATATACAAAGTTATTTATTACAGCAGTATTCTTGATAAAAGAATATTGTAAATATTGCAAATGTACATCCTTAAAGGCCTGGTTAAAAATTGATTTGAGGAAGAGAAAAGTTACTTGAACCAGGAAACAGAGACGATGGGGAGAGAGCTGCCTGACAAGAGCTGTCACCTTCAGACACGGGGTGCAGTCAGCCTGGGGTGACTTAGCAA